TTTGTGAAATTAATAGACAAATATACTTTAATTAATTGAGTATCTACCACATTATCCAGAAACGCTATATATATATATATATATATATAATTCTGACATCATTTTCTTCACAATCATTATCGATATCACGTTGATCGATGATTTTACTTTCTCGCCAAAAACTATAATTTTCGTACCCTCTGCATTTTTCAGAATTAATCGTCTCTGGAGATAAACAACCTATACCCAAAATGATCTTACTCATCAAACGATAATTCCATCAGGTTAACCAGAAACATAGCCCCTGGAATCTTTATCAAATGTTTACTATCTGTCCCACTCATACTTGCACTATGACCCACTAGGGTTTACCTTTATCATCTCACTCGAGATTAAGTTGAATAGAATACTTTTATTTTTAAAAATCTTTCATTTCCTTCTTGAGGAAATCCGTGTAACATTTTCTAGATCCATTTAAAATATTATCGAGCAATTGAAACATTTTCTCTCTCAACTATGAAAGTCTAGTTATCCACATCATTTAATAAGAAGACTTGACTACTTTGTATCAATAACTTCATAGCAGTTAATGCTAAAATTTATACAAGTAAAGAATTTACTCTTTTTCCTATCATTACAAACTTGACACTTTTTCCAAGTTCTCGAGAATTAATCTTGCTTTTAAATAATAATTCATTGAAGTATAAAATGGGTAGAAAATCCATTTTCACAAATTACCTTCTAAAAGTAACTATATTAGGTCTATAAAACTTAACATTTATTCTTAAACAAACTCATAATCAGTTGATCCACTAATAACTCATCTTTCTATAAGCTTTTAGCGATCAATGTATTTACCACTTACTCATTTCCTCTTACTCAATTTAATAATACTTTGAACAATTTAATGCTTCATTTAAATATTTCTCAATTATTTAAGCTTACTTGAAGAAAACTCAGAACCATCACTAGATTCATAAATCTCCTCTGGATCCTCATCCGATTTAACTTCTCTTGTAAACCTTTCAAACTTTTTAATAGATTCCTCAAATGCAGAAACGTCGTTAAACGCTGGGGCATTCTTTCCACATAATGGAGGAAAATCTGTAGAAGCTTCTACCCTTATACGACATGATACTGAATCATGTCGAATTATCTTGGGACGATTTTGATCTCGACCTTCTTTTCAATATCATATACTTTCTTACCTTTGTCCTTAGTTTCCGACATCTATTAGGACATACATAAGAATAACACTCAAGTTAATAAAGAGTGACATTAATCACACTCTAATTGAAACCATATCAGTAACTTTGACAATCTTAATGACATGTAATCCTTTTGCTCAATTCAATTAAACCCAGTTTTGACTGAGAATTGGCTAAACCTATAGATCTGATACCAATAAATGTAACACCCACCTCCCGTATACCTTTCCGTACACGAGATATAGTTGTCACATCACTTTTAAAACAGGTTTTCATTTATAAACCCGTAAAATTTTGTTTGAAATTTTTATAACCAAAAACATTTTAATACAACCATAAAACAGTCGTTGACACCTATTACCAGAGTTATCACTTTAATTACATTATAAAGCAATTTTTCTTAATTTTGATTACATGCTAGTAATTTTTCAAAATAAACCTTATTGTCCTATTGTTACTGATGAGAGTTAACCTTAGATTGATAATAGCTGCTACTACTCCCAGTACCCGACTAGTGTTTGTTGTTACCTACGCGTGAAATCTACACACGTTAAGTATATACTTAGTGATACATAATATTATAAAAAATGAAATTTATACATATGTATCTCATGAATATTAAATGAAAAATTAAATCGCATATTCCATAAGGATCAAATATATCATTCTCAATTCAACCGGATTTCTTGTATACACTCACCGAATTTATTTTTTGTAGGTCCAACCTACCTATCCTTTCGTATATTCTTCGCAATTATTCTTTATTTTCCCTATGTACATTAAAAGAGAATGTAATGCACATGTATTGCACCAAAGGGTCAATTAGTCCTTTATCTTTTATAATTATCATGAGTGACACCTTATATACCATTAATATACTGCTATGTATTTTCATTTGTGGCATCCTTTCATACCAATTATGCATTGTTATATATATATATATATATATTCATTTATGGCATTCTTCCATACCAATTATGTGTGGTTATACTTTTCCATTTATGACATCATTTCATATCAATTATCACGATTAAACAATTAGTCCTTTAGACATTTAGTCTTTTACCCAAAAGTATTTAACCTTTCATTTAACTGCCATGTTGACACCTTTCTGCCAAAGGCACAGTTAGGCTTTTTGTCTTTTACTCAAAGGTATATAACCATTCATCTAACTGACATAATTGACACCTTTCTGTCAAATTCACAACTAGGCCATTAATCTTTTACTGAAAGGTATTTAACCTTTCATCTAACTGGCATAATTGACACCTTTCTGTCAAATGCATAGCTAGGCCATTAATCTTTTACTCAAAAGTATTTAATCTTTCATCTAACTAGCATAATTGACACCTTTCTGTCAAATACACAACTAGCCCATTAATCTTTTACTCAAAGGTATTTAACCTTTCATCTAACTAGTATAATTAACACATTTCTGTCAAATGCACAGTTAGGCCATTAATATTTTACTTAAAGGTATTTAACATTTCATCTAACTGGCATAATTGACAACTTTCTGTCAAATGCACAGCTAGGCCATTAATCTTTTACTCAAAGGTATTTAACCTTTCATCTAACTTACATAATTGACACCTTTCTGTTAAATGCATAGCTAGACCATTAATCTTTTACTAAGGTATTTAACCTTTCATCTAACTGGCATAATTGACACCTTTCTATCAAATGCACAACTAGGCCATTAATCTTTATTTTAGAACAGTTCCTACTCTAATAATTATTCATTATAAATTCTATAGTTTGCACCCGTGGTGCAAATACGATAATACAGAAACTTATTATGAATTTCTTAGTTTTGCACACACAGTGCCCATTCAAAAATTAATAAACTTATTATGAATTTTTTAGTTTTGCACACACAATACCCATACAAAAATTGATAAACTTATTATGAATTTCTTAGTTTTGCACACACATTGCCCATACTGAAATTCTTAAACTTATATGAATTTCTTATTTTGCACGCATAGTGCCATTTGGTAATCACCACACATATAGTAAGCAACATGTATCTATGACTATCATAACATATAAGTATATAATAAATGCACTCACATGATATGTTTCCCTACTATACTATAATGATGTCCTCTACTCTGCAACTTTGTCATTGCCCTTTTTCTTGCTTGACTCAAGAGCTTGGTTATGTATTAAACAAGCACTCAATTAGTAAACAATCCATACAAATGTTAGTATATTCTCTAACATTTATAATTTAAAAATACTCAAAAGTGTTATTATTTTCAATTTCTATAAAAATTTCAGCCTATCTTATCATTATTGGCTCAATAGTATCGGTACCCATAACATTGTATCGATACTTCTATACTATGGTACCAATACCTTCCTCTCAGTATCGATACTACTATATTATGGTACCGATACTCCCTTTCGGTATCGATAACATTTTGGCATTCTGTTATCCATGGTATCGGTACTTTCCATTTTATTATTGATACCCTATCACTATCGATACCGCTTGCATCGGTATCGATACTGTTCGGCTGATTCTTCTAATTTTAAGTCTATAGTATCGGTACTGTTCTATCATTACCGATACCCTTACCCTAATTTTCCATTTTTCAGCCCGATTCTTACCCAAATTTGGTCCAATTTCTTTATGTTTAGACCCAACCATACTTTTAAACTCTTCTTTATTTCTCCCTACTAACTTTCCTTCATTTAGCTTCTTAAAACATCTAAACTCTCCTAAGAATATTTCAATCTAAGAATCACACCACTTTTTCTAACATGTTTTTAGACCCATTCAATGCTTCTAATCTCTCAGTTACTTCATTGATAAGTCAAATATACTAATAAACATCAATAAAAACTCATATCTTAACATATCATTCCATAACCCATTTTCTTAAATCTCAAATATTTTATCCATCTCCTAGTTTAACCTTATTTAACCCTTCCTTAAGCTTACATATCACTTAAGGTTTTAATAACAAACCATAATTGAAATGAAAAACTAATTAGATGAGATTTACCTTGGCTATGGAGGAGGCTCAAAGTCACGGGAGGAAGAAGGAGAGAAATAACTTAAGTTCTTTCTTTTTAACTTTCCCCTTCTTAAATCCCTATTAAAATTTGATTTTTAAATTCATTTTATTCCAAATGACCAGAATACCCTTTTAATCATATATTGTTACAATTTAGTCTAAAGCACTATTCCAAATCATTTCTCATCTTTTATCATTTAATCAAATAAATCCTCACATTCTAAATTTTTTCAATAAAGTCACTAACCTGATATTTTGGGTATTACAGGGTGTCTGCACACTAAAGAGAATAAAATAGAACATTATTTTCTTTATTATGCCTTGTTTTTTGGAATGTTCTTCCAAAGAAAGAGCTAATCTTAATTTCAGGGGGAGAATCATCCACAATAACGCCATTGGGGTCGTTGAGTATCGTCTATTTGCAGCACTATTGCATAACCAAGGCATACCCCTTAAATTATATTATAGCTCAAAGCAATAGCTATTGGGGTTACTCTTGGGTAAAGCACTACAATTCTTGGTTACAATTTTTTTTGTCAAGTGTACATGTAAAACTGAATCCCCTTTTGGTAAAAGCTTATGGTTCCCAAAATTTAAAAATGAATTCAACTTACAAGGGATATCATAACTTTTTCGGATACTTCTAGGATTCTTTAAGGGAGATTAAAGTTAAAAAAATCCTTGAACCATTTTGTAATTTTCGAGTTTTAAGTCCCACATCTCTTACATACCATAAACAAAATTCAAGGGTGGTGTACAAGATGGAAATATACGATAACTTTTGAACATACTTACCTGGATAGGGTCAATAGGAGATGAAGAAGACTCATGGCCTAGGGCAGTGACCTTTATTGCACTTGAGAGGGATTGGGGAGTTGCGTTTGCACGATCCCTACTAATCTTAATTTATAATATTCATACTAATCTTCTTTAGTTGAATGTTTGTCTTTTAGGGAACAATCTTTTATATTATAATATTACTAAAAGAGTATATACTGTGGAAACAAGCAAAAAATTATGAAATTTCCACTACTATAAATTTGAATCTAAGAAATAATTATCTCTCTTAATTTTTAATCCAATATTTTAATTCATTTACTTTCACTGGATTTTGAATCAACAATCCACCACAACTTCAGTAAGGACAAAGAACTCCTAAGGCAAATCACTCTCTGATCACAAGTGAAATGACTCTTGCTCTATCTTATATAAATGTTCGACCGTATCAAATGTTCATTCAATGAGGGCATTGTTATTTTCCAAACATGAATCGACAAATGTAATTTTCTAGATGACATTGAGTATATTGTGATGGTATCAATCAAATTTAAGAAGTAGAATTATAAGTATTTACCGCCAAGGGAGCCCTTTAACCCCAAGCGGAATTAAATTTTGCAATATTGTTCTTATTTAAGAACTTACCAGTGCATAGTTACATGTCTCCACCTTTTCATCAATATCAACTGCAATAAGTGGACATGTTTTATAATACCCAAAAATGTTCAATTGCAAATTAATCCGAGAACTCAAAGATTTTTTCCATTGTTGATCTTCTTACTTATTTCAAATCCCATATAGAATGCATAACCCAAGGTTAAGGTTCAGGTGCAGTATAAATGAAACATCAAGTAGATGTTAAACTCATACCTTTCTCGGCCCTTTGTCTAACATCAAGTGTACTATTTGTTCTTATCAGTTTAATATTTGATATGTTGATCACTGATCCCTATGATATTAAATTAAATTTTATTGGGGAGATCCCACCACAATAGCTTTCAATTAGAGTTCTCGACTGTCTTTTGTCTATTACACTATTGCATAGATCCAACATATTGTTACGCTATTGGATGCAGACTTGCCAAGATTCTTTGATGTGTCCTTATCATAATCAAGTAAGAAATCTCTTATGATAAGTAGGATAGTGTTGTAGGATAAATAAGTAAGAGTTTAAGATGATGTTTTGATCAAGATACGGTTCACGTTTGATAATGATAGGATAAGGTGATATAAGGATAAGTCTAGAGTAATGAATTTGGTATGTTATAATATAAGGTATGTTGGAATATAATATTGGCGTGTAGGCTATGGAAAAGGAATATGAAGATGATATGATTAAAGGACAAGGAAATAACCAATATTATGATGAGTATTAACCCAATTCCTAAATAGTTTCCAATCAAGTGACTGTGACCTACTAATTAAAGAATTAAGAGCTAACAATATCAAAGAATGGGGGTTGACGCTAGAAGAAGAAATTTTTGATAAGTCGAGAGAGTTCTTAGAAGAACAAAATAGATGAATTCTCACTTAATTGCACTCAATGTTGGATTATTACAAAGTAAAGTGAAAGGCCATCTTTATATGCTTAAAATGAGTTGAAAAGAAACCCCTTTAGGTTGAAAAGGTGGCCGACCATGGTGAACCAAAAGATGCCTTTTGGTGAACCAATCTTTCTTGAAAAGTCATGTTGTTATACATTGAGTTGTACCCCTTAATGTTGCCACCCATGCATTGGAAAAATGTGCCCTTCCATTTAAATTATGTCCTTTCATTATTGTCATCCATAGTGTGTAGTGTGTGAAGGGATGGACAAGCCTATTGAAGGTTTCCCTCTCATACTTGTAGCCATTGGTGTTGGAGTGATTATAATCCTTGCATTTGATTCATCTTTACTGTCCAACTGGAAGAGGTGTAAGGAAGATTCATGTCTCTCGGATGGATGGACATTATTTCTTAATATCCAACGTATTTCTTCACCTTTGTTTCCATCCATATGCATCCCAATAGTTTCTTTGTAGCCGTCTAATATAATATAAAATGCACCTTACAATATAAACCAAAGTATTAAAAGCTTATAAACTACTAACACGCACAAACACACACATATATATGTCATGCCTAACACATATATGCATCGATACGACTTAGATACTAATATGAATTGACATATAAGAATGTGACAACATAAAAAAGAAATAGGAAAATATGATATGCAAATAAAATGAATAAATGAAATGCATATGTTATGGTTGCACATGCAAAATATTGTTTGGTTTACATGAGTCCAATGTTAATGCTTGTTCTTTTTTGGATTCAAATGATTTACATGCTTGAATGTTTTGTGTAAGATGGTATCCTTGAATTATTTGGCTTTGGCACGAGTGAAAGGTCCTTGTGGAAGTTCTTCATGTTCATGCTGAGGCATGATCACATCACATACCCCTCCAATTCAAGTTAACTATTTTATGATATGGATTTTGGTTTGATGACCATGTGGAAATCTTCTCATTATTACTCCCAACTTATTTTTTTTCTTTTTCAGCTGTTTTTTTTATATATTACTTTAACAACATGGTATAGGGATTCATTTTAATTAAGTAATTTGTTTGTTAACATTGTTCGGATATTTTTCAATTGGTCTAAGAAACAATTTATTAATCATCTTTAGTCATAAAAGAAGAGGGAATATGATTTAAATAAATGTGAGAAACACAAGGTTGATCTAACCATGACGTCTGTTCAACTTGTATCACCCCAATTTATTAGTCGTCTTTACTCATCAATAGATATTTAACCATAACACCTATTCAATTTGTAAGACCCCATATCTTTTGATACCATAATTTATTTGAAGTTGACATTAAATATGATAAAATTGTGAGATTCGAGCCTTCAAGTTTTATTTTATTATATCATAGCTAAGATAAGGTTGATCTGATTTGATTAAAAATTCTAATGGTGAGAAATTAAGTTTTATTGATAAAATGACATTGATTATGAAGCTGATAAAAAAAAGGTCCCAAAAGATAAATAGATCATATTTGTTTTTAGTGGATTTTAACGAGTAATTCTAATTACTCAACCATAACGACACCTATTCTTGCATTGTTAATTTAAGAATCAAATAAATGCATTTATATTGCCTTTATTAACTAAGGAGAAAGGAAAGCAAATCCTTGTTTTCTTCTCATACGATTTGTATAGTTCGTAAAGAAAAGAGAGATGAATTTTCAATTTTTTATGCATCCATCGAAGAAAAATTCATTAAATTTGATTATATTATTCTAGACTATTTCATGACGTATTTTTTTGAAGCGTATTCAGAATGAATTTTGAAATCAAGGGTAAAATAAGAAATTTAGAAACGATTTGAAACGTTTTGAGTCGTCATTTACCTTTAAAATTGGGTAGGTCAAAAACTCAGGATACACCCTTTTAAAGAATAAAAAATTAAAAAAAATACTTGATTTGGTATGCGTTTTAGAGATTTTGGGTTTGGGAGTCGATTACATTCGGGGAAGTATTAGCACTCCCACAACGCTCAATATTGATACCTTCAATTACGAATTTGTTCCTATATAAAAATTTGAGAACTTAGAATATTTATTTAATTAATGTTCATTTTATTTCCTAAAGAAAAATATTTTAACCTAATTAAGGTTTTTAGAGAGACGCACAATATTTTTCTATTTCTAATTAATCAAGAAATTAACCCCTTAATCGAAATTTAGACAATTATTTCTTATGTTTTAATCGAAATAATGAAATATTTTCATCCTTAAAAATTATCAAATTAATCTATTATTAAACCCTAATAAGGAAATAAAGGTGACAAGCTAGTCAAATTATTATTTAAAAGAATAAGGATGTTCCTTGATTTAAAGAACGAAGGCCAAGCCTCTAACTTTTATCAAACAGTGTGTCCTTAGCAATTTACATGTAGGAACAACCCTCTACCCTTTTGTTTTAGTTAATGAACCTATTTAATTTTTAGTGACCACTGATAGAATATTTATTTATTTAAAAATATTGAAAAATAAATGTCTAGTTACTTTAAGACCATCCTTTTCAATATCTAAAAATAAATAGATATTCTATTTTAATCCATTTATGAATTTAATAAATTTGATTTCTAATTAGAATTATTAAAGAAAATAATCCCAAAAGGATATTTCTAAACTTAATTAATTTCCAATTAAAGAACCTAAAACTAAGGCTCTAATTAATTAGTGACTAAGACTAATGAGCTTAAAATCTAAGGTTTTAATTACAAATCTAAAGGTTTAATTTTAACATTAATGATTAAATTAAAAGATTTAAAAATCTAAAGGTTTTATTGTATGTTTAAACGTGTGGGCATTTTAAAAGATTCAAGAATTGGCAATTAATATTAATAATTAAACACATTTAATAAAATAATAAAGGAAATTGAAATGAAACCAATGACTAAATTGTACTCAATCAAAATTTAAGGAATGAATTGTAATTATTTGGTGACTAAAATAAAATAAGGGAAAAAGTCAGAGACAAGAAACAAAACACGAGTGGAATGGGGTGGCTTATAAAAGATAAAAATTTAAGACAAGCCTCATTTTTTGTCCTAAAAATTTCTCTCATCCTCTGTACTTATCCCTTAGCTGAAATTCACCCCAAAATCCTCCCAACTTCTTCAAACATTCATCCTGTTTTCATCCTATGTTCTTACAAAAACACAAGTCTAGATTCGAAAAACACAAACTCACCCAAAAAGTTGTTTTTGAATATCAAACCTCACTTTTTCCCCCATGTTCTTACCCAACAACCTATCTTGATCCATATAAACACGCAAAATCATATCCAAATATATTGTTTTAGATCAAAACCCCAAATAAATCAAAATCTTCAACATCTTTTCCTAAAACTACCCTAAAATCTCTAAGAACAAAGGCTAAACTACACCCAAATCCAATATGATTTTCCCTTTTCTTCTCTCATCCTAAACTACACAAACAAAAAAACCACCACCTTAAACACTAAAACCCGCCAGCCACCTTCTCTAACATTGTAACCCGACACCAGCCGACCACTACCTCCAGTGCTGGCCACCTATCATGACGCCACTGCAACCCTCGAACAAAAAAAACACAAAACAAGAAAACTTCACATTCAACCTGGGATCGATGGCGAGCGGCGATAGTGAACAACACTGAAAGTGAAAAATCTTCTTTCTTCTAATTCCTTGAATCGAAATCCTTGGATTAATGCAATGATATTTTTATGTTGGTATGTGATTTTTTTTATTGATTGATGCTTATTGACATTTATAGTAGCTAGATTTGATAGATTTAATCTTTTCTCACCTATAAACGGTTACAACTAATATCAGTTAAGATTTTCCACTAGAATCTTTGTTTTTGTGTTGATATTGGGTTATTTATTTATCCTGTTGGAATGAAAAAAAAGGAGGCAACTGATGATTTTTTTCGTTCAAAAATGATGACAATGGTGACTTGGAAGATGAATGGCCGGTGCTTGTGTCTCATGCGCCAGCAACGCACCGACAAAGCTCTAGTCGTTGGGGGACGCGCCAGTGAAGGAGTAGATGCTTCATTGGATGATGAAATCTTAGCCATTGGATCAAATTTAGATCCAATTATTGAGATTCTTTTGTGTTTCTTCAGTTGGATAGGTGACATGGCTCAATGAGAGCTTTTCGATCTAGCTTCTCATCCAATAGCTCATATGGTTTGCATTTGTTTGACATGGATTGAAGAAATGGTGACCCTTGGATGAAATCTAATCAAGGGATGAGATCTTTTTGGTTTTCTTCACATAGATTGGTGATGTCATCACCTCAAAAGCCAAACCAATAATAAATGCTCCTTTTTTTATTTTCAAAGCAAAATTCCCCCTAAAACACTTCAAAATGGTATTGTTGACCTACCTCCTTCTATGATAGAGATGATTAAAGTAGAAGTGATAATCCAACTCCTTCTGTGAAGAATCAAACACAATGTTATCCCTGATTCAACTCATTCTGTGAAGGTTTGAGAGAAAAGTTATCACTGATCCAACTCCT